GGGGGCGTACATGGAATGCCTAGACGCTCGGTAACGCTCGTGTCACGGTACCAGGTTAGTGACAAGATCTTGGCTTTCGGGGAAAGGCCATGATATGCCAGGCTCCAGCATGCCACACGAAGACGAAGGGCACGTTGTTGAGGTGATTCATCCATTGCTATGCGTAGTGTGCTCATGCATCAAGACGACCAGAAAAGGTGTGATATACGCCACGTCTTGCTCTCACAGTGTGTCGGTGCATTCGACTTCAAGCGTCTCTATGGCCCAGCAAATACCGTACCGGTAGTCATCCAGTCTAAACATGGCGCTGCGGCTGTGCTGCGCCCAAGCCAAGGCCGCTCCATTCTCGCGGCGCGTCGCACTTAATACTTTTACTTTTGTAAAGTCTGGGCAAAGCTACTGGTACGAGCCACCCCTGGCTCCCGCATGCTACTAATGTTGAACGTGAAGCTTAACAGCCATTCTATGTATAAGTTTGATGGCTGCCTTTCTGGCGCCCTTGCGTGAATTTACTCGACGTATCACCCGCACCTTCGTTGCCCTTGGTTTCGTGATTCTTTCTGGGTTGGAGAGCATCACTGTCATTCATTCCAGTCGGTGTCACTTGTCCCTATTGTCTGCTATTGTTCCCTTTAATTCCTCCCCAACCACAACACTCGCTTGTACTACCGAAAACGAGGTCATTCGGCCCTAGATTTAAACTTTAACAAAGGCGATTGTCTCTCGGACCGTTCGCAAGTCATTTCTTACAACTGTCTCAATTAGTTCAGTATGCGCTTCTCGGACGTTTTCGCGGCCTCGTTGGTAGTGCCTCTAATCGCTGCCCATGGCGCTGATGAGTTTCATGCACCCCCGAAAATCATTGGCCTCCCTTCCAATGCTATTGGTGCGTTGAGGACTCGAAATGTCTTCGGCGGACATGAAGCCCGGGTTGCAAGACCCAATCAGAGCAAGAAGCTCGTTGCCCGCCAGGCTGGTGGTAACGCAGAGGGACGCTGTGGAAAAGACTTTGGCTGTGCCACTTGCAACGAGGGTTTCTGCTGTTCACTTGAAGGATACTGCGGTAATTCTGCTGAGTAAGTCATGTAAGCTAACTATTGTGAAGTTAGGCACTGACTCTTCTCATCTAGGGACTGCCAATCTCCTGACTGCAACTTCGAGTTTGGCCCAGGCTGTGACGGCAACAAGGTACCAGGTGGAGGTAGTACCCGCGACACTCCCCGTACCAAGCTTGGAAACCAGGTATATGGTGGAGAGGGTATCTACAGTTGCGTCCAGCCAGGCACTGTTGCCCTCACTTACGACGATGGCCCATACATTTACACTGAAGAACTGTTGGACCTTCTCAAGACCAAGAACGCAAAGGCCACCTTCTTCGTGACCGGTATCAACATCAACAAGGGTGCCATCGACACGACCGAAAGATGGTCCAACGTCATCAAGAGGATGGTTGAAGAGAAGCATCAAGTTGCCTCCCACACCTGGTCTCACCAGGATCTGAGCGCAATCAGCAGTGCTCAGAGATATGACCAGTTGGTGAGGAACGAAATGGCTCTCACCAACATTCTCGGAAAATTCCCCACCTACATGAGGCCACCTTACAGCTCTTGCACCGCCCAGTCTGGCTGCGCCAAGGACATGGCCGATCTTGGATACGTCGTTTCCTACTTTGATCTTGACACTGATGGTACGTCAGTCCAGGCATATGTTCGTGAAGCTTTACTGACTTACTCCAGACTATAACCAACTTACACCCGAGAAGATCCAGGTTGCCAAAGATAATGTAGCTAAGGGTCTTGCTGGAACCAACCCTGCAACAGACAGCCGCCACGCCATCGCGCACGACATCCACGAGCTTACAGCCCGTAACCTGTCTTCTTACATGATAAACTATATCGACAGCCTGGGCTACAAGATGGTCACCCTCGGCGAGTGCATGGGCGAGCCCGAGGAGAACTGGTACAGGACGCCTTCAGCTCGTACAGCCAGCACGTCGTCTTTTACGGCTCCCACTGTCTGCACTGGTTCGCCCGCCCCCTCCAATGCCTCGAACGCTTCACCTACACCCGCAGCCTCGGGTGTATCTGTTGATGGAAAGTGCGGGTCCCAGTCTGGCTCGACTTGTCTTGGCTTCCCCGAGGGTGAATGCTGCTCGCAGTACGGCTGGTGCGGTTCTACAGCTGGCCACGTAAGTTTCTGAATCTTCCAGTCATTGGTCCCAAGAAAGAAGGCCAATGCTAATCGCTCACAGTGCGGTACTGGATGCCAGTCCGGTTTCGGAAACTGTGGTACTTCGAACAGCTTTTGGGTGAGGTCAGCAATCGATTCGTGAGTCAAGAGATAACCTTCGC